CGCTGCACTATCATGGTTCGAGTCCCGCTGGAGGTGCTGATGAGATTTAAGCGAGGTCGAAACTACAGCCCACGCTGGATAAGAATACCTTTGAGGAAGCAAGACTATGTGAAATGCAGTGGAAATATAAGGTATACTTATATGATTGTTGGAAATATTAAACTACCAGTCTTTCTTCATCCTAGACGAAATAGGATGAATATGTTTCATATATGTATATATATAATTGAAGCTAATTACCCCAGGAGATTCATCAAGAGATATTTTATTTTATTGTTTGTAATCAGGATTTCATTAAATACTCCAAGAGATTGTTAGAAATGAACTCAAACCATGGGCTAGAGTTCTTGCTCCAATATTTGAGCAGGGTTTGAGTAAATCCACTCTGATCTGATCCGGCTTATTTCAGACGCAAAATTGTACTCTGTTCTGAAAGCTTTTCTCACAAAATATACAGGCCTATCACGATACTAGTAAGATATTTTCACAATTTTGACAAAAGCACTATCACGAAACCACAAAAAGCTTTCAAAAAATCCGAAGCATACGATGGAAGTTGCTTAAGCTTCTTAGGTGACAAATGTGAGGGCGCATTCTCTTGAAATAAGAATAGGGGCGAGATTAACGGTTCTCTAGCCTTTAGCAGGAAGAATGGCCATGGGAGCAGGGAAATGGGCTTAATTCACATAATTACTGACAATGAACTGAGTTATTAGTGAGCATCCAAATGAACTATATATAAATATAAATTAATAAGGGTGAGAATATATCAAAGAATTGGAGAAAAAGTAGAATCAGTGAAAGAATTGCTAGAGCTTAAAATGGAATTAAAGAGCTTATACAAATCGCCACTATCATACCCATATCCGATATTCTTGCTAATTCACAATACAGCAGTACTAAGGCATTCTGGCAAAGCACAACGCCGATATTATGCTTGAATTTGCATGTTAATGGCCAGAATATAGGCTTAGTATCAAGGATAGCAAGTGCAAATTTATGTGGTATGGTATTAACGATTTACTGTGAAATAGTAAGAAAGCCTTATAAATGGATAGGGACTTCCCAGAAGTGTCAAGAACAGACTTCGCTGGATTCAATTAAATGAGGGGAATGTATCAGAAGGGTGACTATATTGGTGTTGGCATTAATTTCATTTCGTTTTAAAAGCGGGTGGAAGGGTTTTATGACTTGGCCTCATCGGATATCGAAAGAGGGGTGTTTTGTACTTATGACCGTTGACTTGTGCAAAGAAGACGTCGGCTCGGAGTCGTAGGGTGGTTACAGGCATATTTCTCCATCTAAGAAGCAGGTAACACATACATTAACAGGTCCTTTTCTTCGAATAAACTCTTTTCTAATCTCTAGTGCTAGCATTCCTTTATTTGCTACTTCGAGTTTGAGAAACCAGCCTCAAATTTTTGCAAATTATGGGAGAATCCTGGGCCGTTGCCTATTCTCGTCTAATTTTTCCCAAATGCCTCTAGCAACAAGCGTGGCAACACAGAAAATTTATATCGGCTTGGCCCAAGCCATCCTGGTAAGTGAGCTAATAGGTCCAAACGTCATGCCTGACTTTTAAAGGCGGGTGCCAATTTAAAAATGGATCTCATCACTTCATGTATATCTTACTTTCTAATTATCATCAACTCTCAAACAAACTTCCACATAACTAGAATATGTTCTTATTAAAGTAATACTGGTAATTTTGAAGCCTAATCATATGGAGGATAAGCAGTGTCGCTAATTGCAATGAGAAATACGTGTTGGCCCCTGTAAAATGCGATTTAAGAGAAACCCGACATGTCTCTAATGCCACATAGATCCTGTGACCAACCTATCTGTGTGTGAGGTGAGATAATGTGCTCAGTATCGAAACTTGCTGGTGGTGCTGACTAGATCTATACATTCGGTAAAATCAACATCTGCCCTGTGGTCCAAGTGCACTCGTGGCAATGAGGGGTGGTTGCTAACGTGTCGAGCTTACACGCTGCACTGTCATTGCTCGACTCCCGCTTTGGGTGCTGATAAGACCAAGGCAAGGTCGAAGCTGCAGCCAATCCTGGATGAGAACACCTCTTGGGAAAGTGAGGCTATGTGAAATTTAATGGGAACGTCAGCTCTACTCATAGCATTGTGGAGAAACTCAACTACCAGTCCTCCATCACCTTAAACGAAATAGGGTGAATACGACTCATAGATCTATGCCGTTAATCCTGGATACGAACACTTTTTTGCAGACAAGGTTCAATTAAATGTAATGGCATCGTGATGCCTAGTCATATTATCGTAGGAAAAATGCAATTATCAGTCTATAAAGCACTTAAAGAGACATAGGGCGACTGCATCATCATCAGTGTGCTGATTAAAAAAACTTGTACTGTATACAGAATTAGAGCATATAGGACGAGAAATATCGGATGGAGCCCATAGATTTTATGAGCACTAGTAAGGTCCAAAAAGAGTAGATTTCTTCGTTGGCAAATTATTTAAACAAACTCCGCTCTCACCATGCGTAGAAGGAGCATTTTGTTGGCCTCCTGCATCCAGTTCGATTTAGCTCCCGGTTCCTTGGCGGCATCCATGTTGAGGTTGGGGACGAGCATCTCAACGCGGCAGCCTTGACTACCGCAAGAATGAGCATTCGCCAAGTTGTGCTGACCTGGAAAACACGCCGCCCCAAGTGAACCTCCAAAGGAGGGCCTGGCAGGGACTGCGTTTGTTCAGGTCATGCTGGTAATGTTGGTCAGAGGCACCACAAAAGGCCTACACTTAATCTCACATGCTCAAGACATGGTGCCAATAGGGGGTCAGTTTGAGTGGGGATATCGTGTAGTTGGCGCTACTGTAATCCGAAGTGGGCTAGAGACTGCCGTGGTGATACGTAGGTCGATAATCCGGTCCGACCTGAACTCCAGACTGTAGCCAGCTGGAGCCTGGCTGGGCTAAACGCAACTGGAGCCCATGGTGATGTACAACTTTCCTTTACTTCACTAGGACAGAGTTGAAGATGTGAGCCAATCAGAGCAGTCCGCTTGCCTGAATAATCATGCAACAGCTCAATGTGGTTTGGGTAAGTGGACGCTCGGCGCCCGGCCAATAAGAGAGTAAATAGACTGACAGAGATTTGGAAAATGCAGCATTATGAAATGAGATCATGGCCTAAATATTAAATATGCAATTAAGGGCACATGTTTCCGGAATCTCTATTTCTCGCCGGTTAGTAGTCTATCGCTCAGTAAAAGTTAGATAAATTGCATAGTAATAATATATGCATATAATCCGATCTTTATGTATGATGGCAAGTTCTATTAAATCACATCTAGCGGGATCAATTTTCACAAGGGGCTATTGAGAACTAATTGTGAACTCTCACGTTTGGTACTAGGATAGTCTTCCTCTTGACGTTATATGTGATCCCTTCTCTCTTCCATGACCCTTGTATTGCCGACCGCATGAATTTTTTATTAGAAGACCCTATTTTATCCCGCCTTCCCGGCTTGCTCAGCCAGTTTTTTTGGGCCTTCAGAGCTTGTCTACAAATGAAAGACTGGATACTGGCATCCTAATCTGCTATCTATAAAAAATTAATCGCAAAAGCAGTTGCCATGCCCCAGGATATAAAATATTTGCGCTGCAGAAAGAGTTGTGTTTATTGCACCATTTACGACTAACTTTGCACAGGACCATTACTTAAAGGAGCTCCATAAGCAAATTTGGCTTGATTGCAAAATTGGAATCAGAACAGAGGACGCGTAACTAGTGCCATAATCTATTATAATTAAAGAGTTGATAGGTTTCCAACAAGCTCCAATACAGCAATTGCCTGATCTGATATTTTTACTACTTTATGCAATCATCCCATCTTTAACTGGACTGGCATGTATACACAGCATATCTGTAATGAAAAATTTGGGAAAATAAGAAGCAAATGAAAGATTATGGCTGTAAGCAACCTTGTTTTACGACAGAAAGACCTCAACTACGGTATACACAGAACATTTAGTCATCGGAGTCGTATGACCTTAATCCGAGGTCTTCTTAGCAAAATTCAACAGATAAAAGTCCAAAGCGGTTCTTCTTCAGTATCAGGTGAGGCCAAATAACGAATCCCCTCCACCCGCCTTCTCAAATGAAATGAAAGTATGCCAGTATTAATCTGATTCTTCTTTTATAGCTCGGGCTTATATGAACCTTAAAAATATTGAGATGTTTCTCCCTATTTAGTCTGAGGTAATGAAGGACTGGTTTACTGGTAGTCTCGAAACTCTACTC